GAAGAGGGACGTGACCAAGTCTTCAAGAAGATGGGAATTTGGAAGCGAGTGGTTTATTTTCCGAGATGATATTACAAACATCTGAACAAAGGTTCGGAACGAGGAAACTTCGTTGACTTTCTTCCAACTTTCAATGAATTACGGTTGACAGCTTGATTATTCCTTTTGCGGAATAAATATGTATTTCGTAATCGTTGTTTAAGTGTTAGGGTGCTTTATCTATAATCAAGAACATGTCCACAGTAGGCGACAGGTTCGAAGTACACTTCCCGCCCCCTGAAAGACACCACCAACTACCATGAATTTGGTGACCGAAGATTGCAAACTAATGCGTACCAACGCTTCCGAATATTTTCAACCTTGAATGTATGTGTCTAAAGTTTGAGGAAGCCAACTCTTAACACTCTTGTCGTAACTCCATAACGGGGAAGTATGTGTTAACACACAGGTATGCAAGTAAATTGGCTGAACTTTGTTATCATCCGTGAAAAGAGTCCAGTTTCTGTAACCAGAAAAATGGACTCTATAAACAAAAAGTTATCTTGTGAAAAGCTGGTACAAGCATCACTTTGGTCTCTGTAAGCAATGTGGCTCCAAATGAAATATTTCTCTATCTTGGAATGCCCTGGAATTCGATTAAAAAAAGTAAAGAGTTAATAAATTCGACATTACAGCCAATTGAGTAAAATTTGCATCGAAGAAGTGTAGGCGCATGTTGTGGACTAGAGGCAGTTGCTGAGTAGTTGCCAAAGTAATGTTTACTTTAACAGTATTTCATCAGCATTAAGCTACAACATGTCAGAGGTTACTAACAGTATTAACCTTGAGGCTTCCAAAGAACAGAGCAGGATATAGTTTCCATATGGGACTCTGTTCTTCTGATTGTCAGGAGTGTTGAATGGAACCGAAGTGGAGTAAAAAAGTACAGCAAAAAGGGTGCAAAACCTCTTCAAGCCGTGTTGGGATGAAACAAAACGGGTGACATTAAATTAAGTCCATATTTGATTACTCCAAGCTAGCCCAACGAAGTAAAGTTACTCCAAACTTTTTCTTGATTCTTGTCACCACCAAAAGAAACCTACATAAGAGGAAGAACTTCTGAAAGTCAAGTATTTACCGTTTACGAGATAATGAGTCAAACTACGAAGATCGGCTTCGCAAAGCAGTACGAAGTAAAAAATAGAAAACTCATCTTGAATGATACTCTATCATCTTAAATAAGACTTTATGAATTCTCCCGATAGCTTTTGCTCTAACACCTCGTTCATTTAAAAAATTCCATTGATATTTAGAGCAGTTGCTTATAGAGGCACGAAATATACAATGAGGTAGAAATAGGGGAAATAAAGCACTAGACGCCGGAGATTAAGGGAAGTTTCGGGCTAGAAAAAGGCAGCAGAGGATACTGAGATTGGTTAAAGCGATGCATTGGATGTATCATGCAGAGAGCAGTAAAAGCTCAGATGGGGTTCAGATGATGCCTTGGAGAGAGCGAATATTGAAAGTTTGGGAAGGAGTGCCAGACTCACTAATTTTTTGGCCTGGCAAGCAATGAATCGCACAAGTTGACAACAAAGAACAAATATGTTTGAAAATATAACTACATAAATCCTGAATAAAATTTCAAAGACAAAATTTTTCCAGCGCCAGATACACCCCTTTGGACTTGTATATAGCTGTCAAGAATTTCAGTTTGCACCAGAGATTGATTCAATTGAACTTTAATCTTCGGAGATAAAAAAAGTATGGCGTTTCTCAAAATAGTCAGGTAGAGAGATTTATGATGAGACATTAAACTTGTCTTATTTGTAACATTTAATTCTATACCTTTAAAGTGAAGTATCAGTAAATTAATGAATTGGAGGTATACATTTCCAATAGATTATTGCTACGCAGAAGCCTTCTAGCACACGGTAAGTTTCTGTCCCCCTTGTGCTCAATTGCATGATTTATAACCTTCTGAGGAGTCCACATGCCTTACGGTCGGACTGAACTCGACCTATAGATTTTAATGGGACTTCTCCATCGAGGTCCAAGGGCCAGGAAAGGGACAGCAGGTGTCAAGTTTTATGACTTTAAGTGATGACGGAACAAACATCAATATCAAGTTCCTACCACCAATACATACAAAGAATGGGAAGCATTAATCGTATGCAGAAGTTTGACTGCACTTGGACTTGCCTTGTGGAGAACGCTTTTAAAAGACTGCACGGTCCCCCTCGGAGATATGTTTTTATGGGACTGTATACGACGTTATGACCAATAGGTGTGCGACTCAAGTATGACAGTAGCACATACGTGTGAACCTCAGTACTGTAGTCTTGTTCAGAGTACAAAGAAAGATACTCCGGATCTCCATAGTACGAATGGGGATACAAATGCTGTACTCATGACTTATCATTAAAGTTATCCTCTGAGTACCATCATTATTTTTCGTCTGCGATGATCTTGTAATTTCTAACTCAAGCAATCATACGCTTTCGAATTCTCTCTTTACTTCTATCAGGAGGCTCATGACAGCCAAGGCGGGCCAAAAGTTTCCGTTTCTGAGGCCTCCCAGAGATTTCTAGATTGACGTCCGAAAACTTGTAAAAGTGCAGATAGCAAACCACATTTTGACATGGAACTCCAGCAGATCCGCGTTGGCAAAAGGATTGTGACTCCTTTGTAGGAAGATGCATTTCCAACACTTCTACTTCATCTTCAAAGAAAACTCTGCGGCCTGATTGCTCAATTGCCTAGTTTATTCTGAAAAGAACAAATCCAGCCGAAGTTACTGTGCCATGTACCAGAGTAATCTTTCTTCAAGTTGCGTAAACAAACCGTTGGACAAATGAATATAATAGTTGCAAATGAATACGCGCATCACTAGGGGTAAAGGCGTGCTACAGAAAGGTCATATAATGTCATCTGAGAGCATTTTATCAAACTGCTTGTGACTGACGAGCTCTGTTCTCGAGACTGTACTGAGTATCAACGTTCCCGAAAATTGGAAATGATAGGCATCATAAAACCAGGTGTAGAGAGGAGACCAAGAGATGTATCGCTACCTACTAGAAATGGCTCAAGCTAACAAAAGCCTCTGACTCCGATGAAGGCGAAGGGCGGAATCAAGTTTACATTAACATAGACAGGTGACAAGAATCTTCCTGTGAATTTTCTGACAGTCGAATATAGGCGCTTCAGTGTGGACTCATTATTCAAAATCGTAGATTCCAGTAGTTAATGTCCGACGATTTTAATCATGTGTTTCATGGACTTGATTCGAAACTTGAGCTGATCTTGCTGCTTAGCGGATTTTTTCCAGCGTATCTTTCGGTAATCCCACTTTTTCGTTTTTTCGATCCCCGTTCACCATCAGCTTCACTCTGCATCCATTCTAAACAGGTTCTTCGTAAGTTTTGTTCGGTTTCGTGCACATCTCCTTCATTGCAATCAGTGTCGTGAATCCTTGTCTGTCAGAAGTTAGAAGCAGGGTGAATCCAAAAGGGCATGCTGCTCTAAACTGCTCTAAACCCGTTACAACGGCCAAAAAGTTACAGAGCATTTACAACCTCCACGTCCTCCAATTTTGCTCGAACTCTGGCAAATTACCGCTGGGTCGACTAAATTGAAATATTAAACTGACGTTGTTCAGAACAATGTTGGCAAGCAGACAGGAAAAAATTTACTCCGATAGGCATAATGGCTTTCGACACTGAGCAACAACACCCTATGCCACTGATCTAATTTTTCTAATCTAATCTAAACTTTTCACCTGTGCGCTAGTAAAAAAGATGGCATCAACCAAAACAGACCATACGCAAGCCAAAACTGAACATAAGGCTTGGGGCGAGTTTACGAATGTGGAGGTCAGATGAGGAAACCATAGAAACTGTGGATGACAGGCGAGAAAAAAACGTTGAGTCAGCCATCAAAAGAAGCCGCAAGTGCGAGATTATCCCACTTTCCCGAAAGCGTTGTAATCCTGCGATGAGGAGCCGGTCCTCGTACTAAATTGCAAGAGTCTGAGCTTCTACAACGCAGGTAGCGGGGGCCCTGGGTCGGTACTACTAGAATGGAGGAATGTACTCCAGAATCCAGATGCATTAGGCTGATTTTGCTTAAGCGAGTTCTGTACAGTGAAAATGATATCAGGGAACTGGATGAGAAGGAAGAAGGCCTAGAGCGGAGGCGGCGGCCAGGAGTAAAGTGAAGCTGTCAGGTGCTGCATGTTCACAGGGTTGGTCCCCTCCAGACCCTGCAGAACTTCTGTAGACTAGACCTTAAGTCCTATAGACGAAGAAATAATAATCTGCAGTCTGGGCCCGTCTTCCAAAGCTCAAAAATTGGCCTATATATTCTTGCATCCATCTCTCCGATCTCCACACTCTCCTCGCACTCCCTTGGCTGCCTGCCGGCATCACCTTACGGTTTTACCAGCACAGGACGTCGGCCGGCCAGTCGCAGCTGAAGTGGTAATTATAAAGTACCCAATTCCCCTTGGCATTCGCTGACAAGCACGACACCACAAGAGGATTCTAAGCTTGCAGCCTTTGACAGTTGGGATGTAGGTTTACATGGACAGAACAAATAGATGTGATTATGAGTGGCACCAGTTCAAATTTCCCGAGAGGATTTTAATTGCAATGCCTTTGACAGTTCTGACAGTTCTTGCGTGGTCTACTCTCTCACAAGTTGGCAAGTCACATGTTCGATAGGTCCATAGGTACACACATAGCTCAGTTGTTGCGTGCGTGGTTGATTGAATTTTGGTGCCAATCTTAGGTCTGCGAATGTAGTACTGTGCCCATTGTGCTCGTAAGTCTATGAGCATTCAACGCTCACACAGTAGATTGCATGCCGTCTCTGTTACCTCTTCCCCTGGGATGTCGATGTCAGTGCCATCTGCTAGGCTTTATGTGGCATTTAAGTCCTTTGTCATTTTCGCCAGTGGTTCAGTCACTCTCCACTGCTTTCAGGCTCCCTTCTCTTTTCCCTAGCCCGCCTTCGCCCTTCATACATTACTTATAAATGTGCATGTTTATAATGAGCCTGCATGCCGTGCACGAGTTCTGAGTCTCTTCTAGCATCGTGAGATTCCACAGCTGAGAACGGCTCGGCCATATACAGTCGAGAGTTTCTGACCCGCACTCCACTCTTCATCAACTTGTTCTCCAGCATTCACGTGGGTAGTCAGCGAGAAACTTACACACTGAGAAGTCCAGAATGTAGTGCCTGAAGGATGGTTGTGTGTAGGACTTCGCCGAGGGCTAGTCGAATTCATGAAGAGTCCATATATTCTGTGTTAGGAATAAACGTGTGAGCCGAGTTGTCCTTCAGATCTTTCAGTCGAGGAGATTGTCTTCCCTGACATTGCAGGCAACCAGGTCGTGAGAATATAAGATGAAGTCCAGGATTCAGCAAAGCCCTTAACCCGTCCCCAATTGTGATTCTCGCCCCTGAAGGAAGGCTTGGGCTGATACAATTTTCTCTTCCTATGACTCGGTTATGCAGAGAGATGGCGGCAATCAGAGGATCCGTAGTCGCTCTGAGCACTGTTTTTCTTCTATTATGTGCGGCAACTGTGGCAAGTGCTGCTGCTGCATGGGCCGTCACCGACTGGACTGATGCGCATGCAACATTCTACGGCGGTCAAGACGCTTCGGGCACGATGGGTACGCATACTACCAGCCTCCACAGCTAAGATATTCCCAATTTTCAATAAAACTGTCCCCGGTTCTTGCGAAAGGCCAGAAAACAGCGTTGTAAACTAGTGACAGGAGACTGACGAGCACTTTGAGCAATTATAGTATGGATCGTGGTGGTACAGAAGGGCAGCTTCAGTGAACGTAATCTAAATATCAGTCCAAAAACATATTTTTGATTCGGAACTTTCTCTCCATCTAGTCACGATGTCATGTGAAGCCCTTGGAAAGTTACAGAAACTGTGGAAATCTTTCCTCGTTAAAAGCTGAAGATGGAGCGCGAAAGAGCCCTTCCTAAGTTTGGTATATGCCCCCTTGTCCTGGATGATTGCGCAGGTGGTGCCTGCGGATACGGGAACCTTTACTCAAGGGGCTACGGAACTGCCTCGACTGCTCTCAGCAACGCATTGTTCAATTCTGGTCTTAGCTGCGGAGCTTGCTTTGAAATCATTTGCAAGCTGAGCGAGACCAAGTGGTGCTACACCGGAGGCAAGAGCATAGTGGTGACAGCAACGAACCAGTGCCCGCAGGGTTCCGAAGGAGGATGGTGTGATTACCCCAGGTCCCACTTTGATCTGTCATTCCCGATGTTCCAGTCCCTTGCGCAAGCAGTTGGAGGAGTCATCCCAGTTCAGTACCGCAGGTGAGGCAAATTCTTATCCTTTCGACGAAAATCTTACGCCCTCCCTCCGTTCGTTCCTTTTTTTTTTACCGACAATGTCAATTTTTAGCATTTCATGTCGAAGAGTTTTGTCTTGTATACCAAATTGTTGTGGACCCGACATACTTTATTATTCTGTTTTCTATACATCGAGGAAGTTTGGAGCCACACTGTCATGTGCGTGCAAGTGAAAAACATTCCAGCTGCAAAGCAGCATGTGAGTCCACGTGCAGGTGACAGACAGTCGCTGATGTTGATGAGAGTGTGTGTGTGCAGAGTGTCATGCTCACGCTCCGGAGGAATTCGCTTCACTATCAACGGAAACGCCTACTTCAACCTGGTCCTGGTGACGAACGTCGGCGGCAAGGGAGACGTGGCGGCTCTGTGGATGAGGGGAAGCAACACCGACTGGCAGCCCATGAAGCAGAATTGGGGTCAGAACTGGCAATGCGACACCAAGCTGGTGGGTCAGGCGCTCTCTTTCAAAGCTATGCTGGGAAGTGGAGAGACCAAAGAATTCTACAACGTAGCTGATTCCAACTGGCTCTTCGGTCAGACCTACGAGGGAGACTACAATTTCTAGGGGCCCGGTCGCGCATGGTGGGCATGCATGATCGTGTCCACGTCCGAATCTGTTGCCGTCAGGAGCAACGAATGACTGTCACTCACAGCTTCAAACCTTGCTCAGGTAAAGAAGCGGTTGCAATCTCTAGATAGTCCTGCAGAGCAGAAGCGGCGTGTGCATATGGAGCCTCAGCTCCCCAGCCCTCTACCCTGCAGGTGTAATACTGAGCGTAGCATAGCAAATCATACCCGTAGTTATTTTTTAAGGTCTCGATTGTCTTGCTGATGGAAGCAGAGGTGAAATTAGCTACTCAGCCACCCGCCCCCATTAAAATTCAATCTGATATGGATGGACAGATAGATAGATAGATATAAAATGGATAGGAACCAACCTCACACATTTCTATGAAAGAATGGATGCTCTGATATATGAATACAGCAGGATGGGCTAGTCTTCTCAATGACTATGTGTCATCTAGAGAAGCTGCTGACAATTATCTCTAATCTTCGGCCACTATCCCAAAGGGCCCGTAAATTCTTCACTAACGTAGATCAGGATGAAGGCGAAACCAGCGTGGAAGTTAGCTAAGCTACTCTCGAAGTTGACGATACAAAATGTGTCCGTGTAATATGAAGTTACTACTGTAGAAAACGTGGAACGTAGTGGTTTAGAGCTCTATACTCGTCGTAGATAGCTGGTGGCCTGTCACCATAGACGTTTTCCAGATTCTGAAAATTTGACTAAAAATTAGCCAGCAATAAGAAAGGTCGACCCAAATTGATCGACCTTATTGTAAGCGTGACTTGTTCCTTCATATAATAAAATTCCTAAGTATGTACAAAAAGCGTCGTCCCAGTCGATCGACCACGTCGCTGCCGCTTACAGGTTGCATTCAGCACTTTGCTTGAGATCTCGGATCTAGATCTGTGTCTGCTGAATCGATTGCGTGTTTGCGTGGCCGCAGTGGTGGCCAATGGATATGTTCGGGCAAGCCTCAAGACTCTGTCTGACCTGCAAACACATTCCATGAGATCTCGAACTTGGCCCCAGAGTGCGTGTGGAAGCGTATCTATGGGGTCTCGTCAGTTAAGTCGGTTGTGGGGCTGCTGGTCCCGGAGCTTCGCAGCGCATTCCGACATGCAAGAGCAGACGTAAAGGACCTAGTGTGTCGACGAGAGGCAGTTTATTATATTGATGGTGGATGGACGTCAGTTGTTCGGCACCCGCTCTTCGTGGATGACGCCTCGTGTGATGTCACTCGTTCTCGGCGACATGACTTCATCCGTTCGAGCTTAAAGCACTTGCCATGACTTGACAGTTGAGTCCTTTGGCTTTGCAGAAAAGCTTCGATGCACGGGAACCTCAAGGACCACTTTTCCACGAATACATCTTTCTGAGCGGCGGCAAAAATCATGGAAAAGCTATCGTTCTCACTCCAAGGACACAGGGCTCATCTAATCTGCACGTGGCGGTTGGTCTCTCGACTTTCAGCTTGTCGTCCCCGCCCGCTCGAAATTGTTTTGTGTCCGGTAAAGATCGGGCAGGAGGGTGAGTAATACAAGGAGGACTTGGAACAGGAGGCACAGATTTGTGAAGAGACCGACCCAGATATCGTTTTCGGCTTGTCGTTCTCTGTGGTTTGACTCTGTTCTCGCCTGAAGCTCTCGGAATCCGGTTTGCATCGCCATATCTCTGACAATTCGGAGTTACGCAAGCAAGTTTTGTCATTTTGGAGATTGAGCATTTATTTCGTGGTCCGAGTTTTTGATCAATTCATGCAGGCGGCAGGCTGGGCCGAAGGAATTAGGGTATAGGGTGGAAAGTTTTAGATAAGCACGCGAGGATTTTCGTTTGTTCGAGAGCAGTTGGAGGCTCGGTCCAACTCCACACGGAACCTTGAAAAGGAGGTAGTTGTCAAGTGTCCAAACGACTGGCATTTAAGAACATTGACCCCAGATCGAAGGGTTTGTAGTTGGTGTGTGGCTTGGGAGAAATGTTCTCCCCTCGATCGCATTAAAAATTGCCGTTCACGAGAAGGTGCACATGGAACAGTTGCGGTGTTCATTATGATCCATGGATCGAAAGCAGCGAGCGCAAGGCCTTTCCCTATCGTAACGTCAGCAGCAGCACAATGCATCCATCCCTCGACTCTTGAGAGGGCACATCCCCAGCTCCATCGACTGACCTCACCGAGTGTCCTATCGCTCGCTCACTCACTCACTCACTCGGTGACACAAGACATTTTCCTTGCACGTACAACACGCATCTGGCTCGAAAGCTCGGCCCACATCGCCTACATCCTTGGTATCATTATGGCTGTCGACCCCGCGAGGGCAACTCAATCCAATCACCTTCTGCTGGGTCGACTATCAAGCGATTTCGGAAGCCAATCAAGCTACACGGACTTCCATAACCCCATGCACACCAAACAGGCCCAAACCTCGTGCATTCGGGCCCAACCACGTCTCGCCAGGTAAAGTTGCGCAAAGGTCAAGGCAGAAAACAACAGTGCTACGTCCGTGACCTTCATCCGTACTTACGTAATTCAGACAATCCTTAACCACTATTTTCGGAGTCATCTCTTCTCTTCAGGGATGAGTGGGGTTTTGCCACATGATGTCGTGAGAGTCCTGTTTGGAGAACGAGGGCTACGAAACATTTAATCGTGGGCGATGATTAGAGCAGATGTTCATAAGAATGTAGCAGGATCGGCACGAATTGGACGCAGAAAATCTGAGCACAGCCGCTCGCGAACCACAAAGGTAATGGCGAACTACCGCCGTCATGTATGCTTGACTGTTTTGCGCTAACGAGTCTAGGTCTCAGAGACGGAAAGTCTTGTGGGGAGAGGGTCTGACTTGTCCACCTGTCGAAGGTTCGGGGTTCCTGAGCGTCACAGCCCCTCGAGTTTCCAAGTGTCCCCTGTTCCTTATCTTGGACCTTTGAACGAGAATGATGCTCATCTGGAGGTCCGGGCCACGATGATGTTGACTACATTTATAACAAGATGTTTCGGTTGCAAATTCTTCTGCTGACCGCTAGGGTGGCGGTGCTTTATGATTTCCAAACCTCCGGTTGAGCTAATCGAGACAAATCCCCATATCCTTGAGTCTCCTGTTCAGTTATTGAGAGCTGTGGTCAGCCATTTTACCACTCTTAAAGAATTGAGGCAATTGGTGCTGACTTCGAAATTCCTGCACTGTCCATAGCAGAGAACTCAACCGCCTAGGTGTCAGTTCAGCTCTGTAAGTGCCATATGAAACAAACATATATTCTTCGGTCCAGTCGCGCTTGAGCTTCTGGAGTTGTTAGAAGGAAGGAATGAGCGGCCAAATGCGTTACCTCTCTGATGATTGCACCTGCCGTGCTACAAATTTGATATCATTGAGCTCCGCAGTGCAGGTCATCGAGAATACCATGCAACAATTTGTGCTAGGCTTTGTAACATTCTAGGGAATCAAGACGTTTCAGATGGCTGCCTCAGGGTCGCTTAAGGCCAGTTTGTAGAGCAGATTCTGGCCCACTAGAGACCTCATACTTGTGTGACGACCTCCATCTTCCAGAGTGACGTCTAATGAGAGAACATTCTTAAAATATTCATATTAGGAGTTTCTAAAACCTAAGCAATGGATTCAAAAGGCAGAATAACTAGCCTTCATTACGGTTTTGCGATCATAACTCTATGGTAATCTATCATGGCCTGAAATAGACAGAAGAATGCAAACCAAACATGTTGGATCCAACCTGAAGTCTGAAGTCTGAAGTCACGACTTCACCGTGACTTAGAAGTTTACTGCCACTTAGAGAACTTAACTTTGTTTTGAAGGCTAGCTATATGCACCTAGTCGAAGGAGCCTTCGAAAACAACTTAAAAAAGAACGGATCAGAAAATACATGAATTTGCAATGGCGTTTACCGACGTGGTCACTCATCCTTAAGCTTTATGATTAAGTATCTTAAGGAAACGAGATGAAATCCTGCAGCATCCATGTGCTCATTCTTTCATATCAAATGTCAGACAGACAGCAGCGAGCTGGACCTTCAGAAGACAAAATTCAGCAGTAGTACAGTACTTGCAAAGTGGTCACATTTGTTTCCAGTAATCTCGAGTATACTGCTGGGACATGAGCCTTCAGAATGTCAATTGCAACGACCCCTATGTCTTGAGCAGATTCTCGTCCTTCTTTTTCAGAAGAGCCAGCGCACCCTGATTATAGTATGATTAATTGGCCTCCAATTACTACAATTTTGACGCGTCTAAGAGTTACAACCAGAAAGGTGGCAACTATGGCCACACTGTCCACCGTTGTAACCATGTTCAATACATTTTTTGCGAGCATCCAGAACATGCTCAATGTGCTCAATGCTCAGAAATGTGGTCGATATGTCGTACATCAGCGAGCATCCAGAACATGCTCGCTGATGTACGACATATCGACCACAGATGTACCGATTGTGGCATGAGTAAATTGTTTTGAGATAACTTGGTCTGCTTACTAATGAAGCTGGCAGGCACTGTGGATGCAAGGTGCTTTTACGTGCTTCAGTCGGTAGGTACAATGGATGGTTTCCCCTGCTTATCAGCAAAAGTGTCACTGAACCTGGACAGTAGAAGCTCTGGATGGATCCATGACATCTGAAATGGTGTAGGTCCGGGTTAGCACTGATACTGTAGTATACATGTTATTATGCACCTGACACCCTCCTGTGTGGGGATGAGTGATCTGCATAATCCAGTCCATCGGTTAGTCCTGTTCCCTGAGATACGGAAGGAAAGTACTGTAGTTCTGGACAAGGTAAGATAGTGGTGTTGTTGTTGTTGTTGAGGTAGGTTAAGAAAGATTTCAGAGTAAGACACATGTGCCCAATCTTTGCACGAATTGGAACGTTTACAGTGTCTGCTGAACGATGTGACCCTCAAAAGATTCCTTATCTTCAGGGTTGGAATCAAATTTTTTCGCTCGAACACCACACAAGAGGTGTCATGGAAGGTGGGAGTCGTTGAATGTCACAACAGAAAAACCGGTCATTGGATGTTTCAATCGTTGGTATTTAGGCCATGTAGAGAACCGACTACGGGAGATGTTCGCTGATGGGAGTGGTAAACTGATTCACCAGAGACGGTCTACAAAAATTCATTTATTCTCGTGTAGACTATAATCTTGTATTGCAGCCTACAACTACAGTGATTTGAAAAATCCGCTGAACAATTGAATCTGGAGTTACGCATGTTCTGTGAACCACATTCCAGCATCTGTAAATCCAAATCGTCAACTTTTGAATTGAGGTTGCCCTTTAAAAAAGATTCCAGCATGCAAGTGGAGTACGACAGTTTGGAATGAACAATTGAGACAATGTCACAGAAACCGTCACCATGTTGCGCATGACCTCGCCAGTGCATCGACAACAACTATACATACGTACATTCTGCGTGATTTCAGAACTATTAAAAGGTAGCCATTAGCAAGTCCTTTTCGACCTCTGCGGACTTGGACAACACCTGCATAATGCCCTGTGGCTTTCTACTGCCGTGAATCTCAACACTATGTGTTAAAGTTTATTCGCTTACATGTTCAGACCTAAGGAAATATATAATAGGCGTAGCATGACCTTGTTCTCTTCGGCGCGACTCCATTTCTGTTATGATTGCCCACAATCACTCGATGAAAAACTGGTGAGAAAATGGCCGACGTCGTCCACCAACGGGCGAAGCAGAAGGTTATTTCTTTCACCAATATATAACTTACTTCTACTCTCCAACTTACCTGTGACAACAAACAAAACGAGTTCACTACCAACCAGTACGCTCTGCAAAGACACATCACCACATCTCACATAT